AGTTTCAATACAAGACATCTGAAGCCTAAATGCATCCAAACAGTTCATTGGGATTGGGATGAAGCTCGTGCTGACAACAACACTCTTTTAAAATCTGTATTGGCCAGTCACAGCTTTAAAAACCCAGAAATCTGCCGTCAAGTAGTGCCAGGCAATAAAACAATTGCAATATTTTGTCGAGCGAAAAGGATTATAATAACAATGACAAAGGTAGGCTTTAAAATTCAGTGGGGCCAATATTATTTAAGCTTTTTTACAAGAGATTGCAGCCATTAGTGTAAACTGAAATGGTGCTGTAAATGCGGTTTGAACATTAATATATTGCTAGTTGAGACAATTTAATTGTAATCCATAATATCTCACACAGTTGAAGGGAACTGTGTGTTTAGCTTAACAAACAAATTTCATTACTTATTAATAATGTTTATTTTAATTTGTTGAACAGATGCCATCTTGGAAAATGGATTGTTTATCTGAAACTTTATTGTGATCAAAAAAATTCAATACAGATAAAAATGTTTGTTGTACATATCGCCAAGCTGTACCTTCATGTCACGTTGGCCCCTCTCGCGCTCATGGCTCGTCTTTGACGCAGATTTAACGGAAGGTTGTGGGTACGAGCCAGAAACAACAAACCAAAACCTCTGCATAGTTACCACTGGTTACCACTACTGTAGCCAAGAACACAGCCTCACTCAGTGGGACCAGTCTGCAACTCCCCCCGAGTCACTCAGACAAGAACAGATCAGGGAAGAGACACAGCAAGAAAAAAAGCAAGTCTGTGAGGACAGAGACAAACCCTGCCTATAATTACTCTGGTAAACCTTTAACTACATAGAAGCATCTCCAAACAACTATGCTTTGCTTGTTATGTGGCTGATATGACAACAGACAGATTTCCAGGAAGACCTGTATGGTTCAAAGGTGAGACAGAAAAGCTACTTTTAACACACAAAGTCTACAAACAAGAGTTTATGCAGACAGAATATGTATAGTGTAAACCTGAGGGCAAAGAACGAATATCACGACTGAACGCTGTCTGTGTGTGTTTGTTCTTGCTATAGCTGGCTGCTTTGTGTTTACAAATGGTTTAACGGTTGTTGAGGAAGACCAGGACTAAATACTGCAGTGCTCTCTGGAAACAATTTGAAGTTTGGAAGGAGGTGGGCCAGTCAAAGTGTTAGATGGCCTAACCTAACCCAAGTTTTCAGTGGTTTGCTTTAGAGAAAGTGAAGCTAAATCTGTGGAGATTAAGGCATCCCAAGTTGTAAAAAAGACACAAATCAAGAAGCCTGAGAGCAAAAACATCAATGTTTCTTTTAATCACATTAACATTAATAGCTTTTAATAGTATCTAGATGAGACACAAAAGAGACAAATTTGTTTTTGAATTAAAGAACAAAAGTACTGAGTCACTTAATGGGGCAGTTTAAATAATTAGTGACATCCAGTGGTAGCCAAAGTAAAACATCTGCATCACATATGAATGGAAATCTCAAGCAAAATACTTTTACGCAAAAACACTATTATATTACAAGTTTCATGTTTTAAATCCCAAAACATTTTCAGGCTGTTTGATAGAGCTTTACTGCAGCTCACACAGTTGATACTGCCTAAGATACTAAAGGCTGCAGTGTTTCAAGCACTGCTAGGACTAGGGGTGTAATGGTACATGTATTCAAAGTGAAAATACCCAGTACAGCCCTGTCGGTTCAGTATACACAAGCACCAAACAAATACAGCAATGTTTTATACCCGAGCTCATGCAGAATGTTTATGTGTGGAACTTGTGCTCAATGCAACTTTCTGTAGTGGAACTTTAAAAGGTGACACCAAAACAAAACAGGGAGGACTTACAGCTATACCTAAACTCTGCTATTTGGGAACATTAGGGTTTATTATGCAGCTACAGTGGAGAAAGAAAGGTGCAGTGATCCAAAACTTTATGCCAGCGTACGCATTTTTTACAGCAATAAGATACATAGTTTGCTTTGCACTTAACCTAATTAATCACCTGAAATAATGTCAAGCTGAATGTAAACATAAATGGTCATGACAAGTCTGTCTGACCAGAGCGCTCTTCTCAGAAGCTGCGCTTTGATGGTGCATTCAAGTACATCTCGTACACTAAATTGTCTAAATATCAAAACAACTCCACAGTGAATTAAACCCTTTTTTATTCTGAAATGTTTGCACAATCTTATTTAAAAAATTGCCATCCATCCATCCATCCATCCATCTCCATCCATCCATCCATCCATCCATCCATCCATCCATCCATCCATCCATCCATCCATCCATCCATCCATCCATCCATCCATTCATTCATTCATTCATTCATTCATTCATCCATCCATCCATCCATCCAGAGCCAAATGCTTTGTCAGTTCTATAGTGGGCACCTTTTATTTTTTTCTCTTGATAAAAGTGAACCTAAAATGTACTGAACTGTCACTGCAGTTTTGTATACCTTTACACCCTAAGTAATGACAAATAAGATAAGAAGGGGTAAAATGAAGATTTATCGAAACTTACATAATCAACAAAAGGCTGCTACTAACAATTTTCTTTTTCACACTGTTGTGTATTAGGATTGCTCTTATAATTCAAATTCCTCTACTTTCAAAGCACTTAAATCCTTGCCCATCCCAAGCCATTTAGCACAACAATACTGGAACAAATATATATTTTTTCTAGAGTGTTTCATTTGGTCCATTCTGGACTACATCTGTAACAACAACACATGAAGCTTTTTTGTAAAAAAAAAAAAACTATAGGAAGAACAACACAATATAGCTGATTTGTTTTTACCCTGCTGAGAATTATTTGAGATAAGTGAACTGTATCTGTCAGCAAATTGTAATAATGATAAAAACACATTTCTGAGAGGTTACCCTGCTAAGGAACTGAATTATAGAGTGCAGAAGAAGACTAAATGTGCTGGCTATCTCCAGTGGATTCCAGTGGTAATCTGCAGCTGTTTTTCACTATACCCACACAAAGAACAAAGAAGTGCACTGCTAAAGTGTTCTTTTCCTGTCAAAGGCTACCATGAAAAATATGACCAAATCACGATCAAAATAGCACTGTTTTGCATCAGTCAACACAGCTACATACAGATTTGTATTTATTATCTTCAACAAATGTTTGGTTGTGAAGTGACACTATGAACCAGAAAACAGCTGCAAAGTATTAAGCTGTAATAGTTCAACAATAAAAACAAAGTAAGTAAATTACACTGTGCTGCCAAAAGCACTAGACTATTAATAACTTTTACAACCTTTAAGGCATGCCATGGCTTTCTGTAACCTTGATGATACCAGCTATGTTCTGACATGTGTGTGTTCTTTTTAAAAAGGAACACCAGACAGATGTTCCCACAGCAAAATGAGAAATCATTTACACGTGTTGTGCACAAATCAAAAAAATCAATGATCAGATCCGACTAATGATGCCTTCGCTGACTTCTCTGAGTGTTGCGTTCAAAGACTATCTTTTGTTCTGATGCTAAATGCTGTCACTGTTATTTACCTAAAGGAAATGCACAAGACAATGCCCTATGTTTATCTTTAGCAGAATGAATCTGACATGCAAGTCTTTCTTTTTCTATTTCTGAGGCAAACAGCAAGAACTCTGTCCAAAACTAGTTGAAATTTCTTTGTTTCTGTAGATTGTTACCAAAACTGAAAATGACCAGGTTTAAATGTGAACATATTTTTCTCATTTCTGTTTGAATGAATCTGAGCAAATCAAGAAAAAAACTCAGTTTTATTCAAACAGAAGAAACTGATTACCTGTCCTTCCTGAACAAGTAAGGTTTATAAAGAACAAGTCAGAAACATAAAGACTGCAGCAGCCAACATCTTTTTCATATAAGAAAGTAATGCAGACACTCTGACAACAAACAGAGATTTATATTTTGCAGTTGCCGCTTTTTGGCTGTGAGAATTGCTGCCCTGGCAGTTGTGGAGTTTAAATAAGCAAGAGCTGCCATGGTTCTAGTGTTTTACCTAATTTCAGCTGCAGATGCTTTAACTGCCAGGCAAAGAAAGCAGTTTATCATGTCAAAAAAAATTAGATCATGATAAATATCTTCAAACATTTGTTGACATAAAATGTGACATTTTTTACTGTAAAATCAAACGGAAATGTAAACAAATCTGTTAAAAATAAAAACGTTCAATAACCCTGGTTGCATAAATGTGCACATCCTCAAATGTCTTGATTAAGTACATTTTGATTCAATTTCAGCCTTCAGTCTTCTTTGGTAGAAGTCTGTCATCATCCCATATCTTGATATGGCAATATTTGTGAACTGAGCCTTGTGAAAGTTCTCCAGTACTATAACTTTCCTCTCATTGAGTCATTGTTTTGTTATTTGAATGTATGCTTGGATCCACTGCCACACAGAAAAGTAAAATATATTTTCCCCATCAGCTTTCTAGCAGAAGTGAGAAAACTCACTGATATTTGGAACTGTTCATGATTTCATTCGATTTCATAAAACAATTCCATCTCAAGAAAAGCAATCCCAGAGCATAATGCTGCCAGTACCATGTTTCACTGTGGACATGGTGTTTTTTAGGTGAGACGCAGAGAGCCAAACCTACTCTTTAACATAGTGGCTTAAAACGTTAAGTTGGGTTTTATCAGACCACACAACACATTGTTCTAAAAGGTTTTAAAAGGTTTGGATGTTTTTTTGTTTTAAAGAAAGGGCTTCTGTCTTTGCCTTTAGTTAAAAGATGCAAATGTGGAACTCGGGAAAATTCAACTTGGGCAGCTGAACTTTATTTGAAGTTCATCAGAACTGTTTTTCAGTTAAATTGTACAGGACAATTTTTTCATTAAAATTTTTTTTCATTAAATATGGTTTGAAATGATTTTTTTTTTTTTTGTCTCAAAACCTGGCATTTCAACTGGAGTGTGTTCACCTCTGAGACCCACTATAGTTTTCTGATAACTTGCAATTTCAGTTTTGAATGAAATGTCAGGGCGCAGCGCTGGTGGTGTAGGGGTTTAAGCACGCAACCCATGAACAAGAGGCTTTGGTCCTCAATGCGGCAGTCCTGGGTTTGAGTCCCGGCCCTGGTGACATTTGCCGTGTGTCTTCCCCTCACTCCACCCCCGTTTCCTGTCTAGCAACTGTTGGAAAAACTCTGGAAAAAATAAAGGCCACTAGTGCCGCCAAAAAAAATCTTTAAAAAAAAAAAAAGCTTAAGATTCATTTTAAAATTCTTATTGTAGCAGTTTTATAGATTTAAAGATTGAAAGTGGTAAATTAAATAAAAATCTGGCCTACAGCCCCAGCCAGCCCCGGCATTTTTCCCCTAATTATTTTAAATGATCCAGTGACAACTAGATTAGTTGTCTGACATTGTGCATTGCTGTTTCTGGACTTTGACTGCAAAGCGCCCAACATATATTTACCCAAGCACTATTGATCACCAACAAGTCAGGAAAGTGCGACGTTTGCTCAACAGTGAACTTTTCCACATGCATCCGAGCAAACACAGCATTCTGCAACTGATGTCTGATATAAGATAACGAGTGTCAACAGCACATTGAGCACAAAATCACAATCACATTTGTTAATATGATGAACCGTCTGAAGAACGATTCGTTCCCGTATCATACCATTTTCTCCTTGATGTTTATCTTGAAACATCAGTAACTCACCTGATGATATTGTGTGGTCCCAGTCGGTGAGAAATGCAGATCCCGGAGGCGGCAGCCAATCCAAAGCAGAAATCAGGAGTATGATCAAAACGCTGGAGGAGAGGGAGACAGCCATGATGCTGGAGAGAGAGACAAAGGGGGTGAATGAAAAATGGACAAACATCGTGATTGTAATTAACAGTTAAACTTCACAATGACACGTATATGTGAAACTAACACTCCTTCACCCACTCACTCTCTTTTTTCAGCTTCCCTGTGAGTGCAAATTGTTGTTGCCTCTTTTATTTTCAGCTGGTGTACATGAAACCCAACACGAGACAAGGGCAAAAGTATTGATCTTCTAGTTTCTTTTTGCAGAATTTAAAAGATCATTCTATGATGCTGTTTTCTGGAACTCATAATTGAATTAGTGTTTTGAACTAAACAGCAACCTATATGTTTCGCATTCTGTCGTTAAAACCACAAACATTAATGTTCGAAGTAGCCCATAGCTGTGAAGTAGAGGAAAAATTATATATATTGTTTCAAAACGTTTTACAAATAAAGACCTGAAATATGTGGCATGCATTTGCATTCAGCCTCCCTGTCATGTTTTGTAGAAATGTTATGACGTCTGCTGGTTTCTACTATCTTTGAACAGTTTTAAACTTCTGCCCATTCCTCTTCGAAAAATAGCTCAAGCTCAGTCAGATTAGATGAGGAGCATCAAATTAAACAGCAATTTTCAAGTCTTCCCATAAATTCTCAATATGATTTAGCTCTGGACTTTGACTAGATCATTAAAACAGATGAGGATGCTTTTAATTTAAACCATCCCATATTAGCTCTGACTTGATTTATCTTCCTGAAGGTTTCAGATGGAAAAAGGGGCATTATGTCAATTCAACCCTTTGGAAATTCATATCACTATTTTGCTCCGAGATGTGGCTATTTCGTCCCGGTCTGCCTTTTTTAACCACTAAACAAACAATTTAATATCCATGTATTTGTCAATATTATGTTGAATTGCAATCATCATCCTATTGGAGTGCAAAATCTCAATCACAATGGACTGCTGTGAGATAGTAATTGGTAGAATATTATACTAGTGTCATGCATTCATGTTCTGCATATCGCTCCAATTTCTGAGGAGTTGGATGGACTCTAGCTTCCCCTAATGTTCATACATGATTTATACTGTTAATCAGGAAAATGAGGGTTAATTGTAATCAGTATCGTCATAGCTGTAGTATTGCAATTACGTATTTTTCTGATAAAGGGATGCCAATGGAGCTTTTTATGGTAAAAAAAAAAATCCAATGGCAGGTGCCTCCATTTCATACCCGAAAAAAAATGAAAAAAGCAAATCTGCAAAGATAAAAAAGGGTGAAAAGGCTGAAATGACCCCAAAAAAATACCCCACCAAATACAGAGAAATTAAAAATGATATGTTAGTGTTAGCAGTTTGACTGGACCAAAAGTCAAAGTAGGACAATTAACAGTTTGCTGCCATTTTTACACTTTGTTAACTTGGTTGGTTAAATGAAAATACAACTACATCCTTTTTTTTAGATTCATTTTATTTGCTATTCAAGTACCAAGTAGTGTTAGCTTCTCTGTCAGTGTTGTAAAATGCTTTGTATGGCTTTTGAAGGCCATCATACAGCAAAACAAAATACAGGGTAATCTACAAAAGATGCCAAAATTTTAAAAAACCACATTCCCACATAAAACTTTCACCAACACTACCAACGCCCAGGCTAGTCTATAGTTTTTTTTTTTTCTCTCCAACTTGTTAAAAATCTGTACAACAGAAACCACTATCCCTGGTCATTCAGAATGTGCTGGAGGACAGGTTCTACAAGTTAAGTCCAACCTCTAAATATAGGCTGAACCTTCAGTCCACACCCTTAGCTATTTACAGCTGTATGCACAAGTTTGCAGGGCAGCCAGCTACCCTGAACGTGGAGCTTGTGCCTCTGCCAGTGTTTTTCCCTAACTCGAAGGCTTACTGAGAATACCAACTTTCCTCTTAATCCAATCTTTCCTGTTCATTCAACCTCTTTTAAATTACTGAATAAAAAATGCAATTCTAAGTAATAAAATAATCATTGTTACATACGTAAGGTGCAAAAGTAAACAATAAACACAACAAAGGAAAATGAATGTTTACAAGACGTTTCAGATTTCACAGTGAAGCAAAGTTCTGGACACTGGGCAACATTTTTTTCTTTATGTTAAGTATGTAGGCTGAAGTGTATGTGCCTGTGTGTGTGCCTGAATTCCATGTGCCCAGAGGCCACAGAAGGTCAAGTTATACAATGCATGAATTCATGGCAGAAAGCTGTCAAGCAGCTGGCTCATCTCGGACGGGTAGAATGCCCCACTTACTTCATGCGCTGCTCAGTTTTTGCAATGGTCCACTTAGTCTAACCTTTAGAATAATATAGTCCCTCCTTCACTCAAGATTTAATAACCAGCAATTATTCACTTCACTTCTAGCTCAAGCACTGCTATTTGGGTAAGTAGGACTCTCAAATCATTTTCCTCTCTTTGTTTCTACATTGTCTCGTCTTTTAAAGTCTGTTTTTTTCATGAGTGGAGGAACTAAAGTGAATTATGCCTAAACAGCTTCTTCACTCCAATATGTGGCCTCATGTTAATCCCGTGAAAGTGTCTGTGAAAGCCCTGCCAGGGCTGCACGTTCGTCCCTTGTTTCTCCTCCCTCTTTAGGCCAGTGACAAGCTCCAAGATTCCCAGGATGAGCAGCAGGGACCAATAAGAGAAGAGGGAGGCTCAGAGCAAGCCTCCCTGGTTCCCTTGGTAAACATGTGTTGTCATCCCTTTCCCTGAAACTGCTTTCACAAAACACACATCAAAACCACACACACACATACATATACATACATGATGCACACTTTCACTTGTCACCTCGCTGCCAATAACATGCCTCTGTCATGTTTCCTCAAGTTTCTCCTAATTATCCTTGTTTGTTCCAAATGAGCTGAGAGGGGAGGGGGTGAGGGAGTCTGGAATAAATAGGATTGTGGTATAAAGGTGAAAGCAAAGGAAATGAAAAGGTCAGGGGGGGAGAGGTCATTACATCCCTGTTAGATTCTCCTAACTGCAGAAGAAAAGCATAAAAGCACAGCCAACCACACATAAACGCAAAAGGGTACTGTAGCAAGCCCAAGTTCAGTTTGAGGTTCTGCAAGCCCTGCACACACTGCTCTTACTTCACAGAAAAAGAAATTTAAGTTAACATGGGAGTAGTCCTTTTTTAAAACAGTAGTTTTAGTTCATTTGCATGTTAGGCACAGTGGTTTTCAAACAAAGGAGTCTTAAAGAATAATAATCATTGACGAGAACATCACAGATTACTATTTTATACAGTTTAACGGCACATTAAATGTTCACATTATAAAACACAAAGTCACTGGTGTGGATTCTCAGTCATCCAGGACATGACAACCCAAAGTGCTTAAATAGATGGCAACTAGACTTCTTCTCTTCTATATTGAAAAGATAAGAACTCTACATGCCATCTACTGAAGCACTTAGGAAAACCAGTAGTCATCAATACAGTGCGGCTGTAAATACCCGTACTCGTACTCGTCGTCTTCCGCTTATCCGAGACCGGGTCGCGGGGGCAGCAGACTCAGCAGAGACACCCAGACATCCCTCTCCCCAGACACCTCCTCCAGCTCCTCTGGGGGGAGCCCAAGGCGTTCCCAGGCCAGCCGAGAGACATAGTCCCTCCAGCGTGTCCTGGGCCGTCCCCTGGGCCTCCTCCCGGTGGGACGTG